CACACACACACACACACACACACACACACACACACACACACACACACACACACACACGGATCGTATTGTAACAGTGTTTTGCTGCGTACAGGCCCCGAGGCTCTGTGCGCAGCATCAGCACCTTGGATAGCGCAAAGTATTTAACTGATGGCGCAAGCTGAAAAAAACAACAACAACAACAAAAACAAAAGCACGAACCCCCCTCAGAAAGCAAACCTTTAAAGATCAAATCCTCCGTCTCCAGGTCGAATCCCTCCCGGTGGCATTTCCTCCACAGTCCGGTGATGGTGGAGTTAAAATGCCGACTGCAGAGGGACTCCATGGCGGAGGCAGGCGGCGGCAGGAAGTGGCGCTTGGCCCGCAGCAGCTCCAGCGCGTCGCCGCCTTTCCTCCCGGAGGCGGCTTTGTCCTTCGGCAGCATCCGGAGCGGCAGGTTGGAGATGTAGATGTAGCCCGGGTCGTTCCTTTTATTCGAGTAATTCTTGCAGCGCTCCCGGTGCCGCCTGGCGTCCGTCTCGTACCAGTTGTCGGTGCTGATGGCCACGGCGATCAGTCCCAGGGCGCAGAAAGCCAAAAACAGACCCGCCACGGTTAAAGTCCTCATAGCAGCCATGTTTCCATGCGTGGTGTTGTGATGTGGCCTCGGATCCACGGGACGGCGGGGCTCCCCTCCTGGCTGCTGCTGCTGTCAGCGGCTGATGATGATGATGATGAGCTGTGGAGGAAATTCAGCGATAGATCTGAAAAGCGGATCCATCCCAGAAAGCCTGGCACGGCTCGGGTTTTATCTCCTGTAATCGGAAAAGAGCCAAATTCCTGTGAATCAAACGGGGCCTCGATCAGCTATTTGTGTTGTCTTCTTTCTGCCTCTGAACTCAGCCTGGATACTGGTCGGTCCAACACCTCTTTCCAGTAGATGGAGACAGAGCAAGTGTTAGAAAACACTTAAAACAGACCCGCACTGGAGCACCGTGTGTGGGAAGAGGTTTCCACAGTTTTGCCAAAGCTGTCCAAGAGGAAGCGTCCTTCCTCCTCCGTTTAATGGAGCATTCAGGCTATTATTTAAAAAAAACTGCTGTTGTCTCAAATGTTTAGCTGCAAAACAGACAGACCATAATAAACACAAAGAGCCTGGACTGTGTGCAGGAAACAGCTTCATCACATCCCATGACTGGTAAATTTCCATTCCAGCAGATGTTGGTTCAGCTTCAAGACTGTCAGTATTTATTACAACCATTTTATTGAGCAGATATAACAAATACAAAATATAAAATGATCAGTTTAATGATTTTGAAAAATACATTTTCTTCCTTTTTCCCCTTTTAAACAAAAATTCAGCAGCAATGTGGAAATCAAAAGACCTGCTGTTTCCAAAACAATGTTTTTTGTTGTTGTTCTTGCTCCTAACGGGTTTAAGCTGACTGCTTCTTTTACAGTTTGTTTGAAACAAAACTTTTAATTGAACATCATGCCTGATTTAAAGGCAGATCCAGTTTTGTTTCTTGTAAAGCTTTGCCGTGTTGAAACAAGAAAGATTTCTGTCTGGATGTCATAGTTTTCATATACACTCACCGGCCACTTTATTAGGTACACCACGCTAGTAACGGGTTGGACCCCCTTTTGCCTTCAGAAC